CAACCCTGAAACATTACCGTATAATTAGATCAATCCTTGTATTAATCTAATTAGTGCATTAAAATTAGTTTTACGTAGAAAAATCTCACCTGAACATCTTTATCAGGATCGGACCATAAGAGATCACAGAGGAGACCAGTATCAGGTACATCGGTTGGACGCATGATTCTTCTGATTTGTTCCATTCCCTAAAAAAGGCAAAATTTAAATATCTCTTTTACATTTTTATCAAATCCAATTCGTAATGACATTCCCTTTTATAAAAAACGGGAATCAACGAATCTTTTATTTGTCCGTTAATTACCTGCAAGTCAGGACTGAGCCCGCCATGGCAGCAGAAGATTTTCTCGTCAATGATCGCAGCAATCGGCAAGCAGTTAAAGCAATCCGTGAAGGTCTTCCAGAGCTTGATATTGTACCGTCGCTTGCACTCATCGTAAAAGCCGTATATCCTGTTTATACTGGCACATTCGTGATTGCCACGCAGTAGGAAGAAGTTCTCCGGATACTTGATTTTGTACGCCAGTAGCAGGCATATCGTCTCCAAGGATTGCTTCCCTCGATCGACGTAGTCACCTAGAAACAGGTAGTTGGCCTCGGGCGGAAAGCCACCGTACTCAAAGAGCCGCAGCAGGTCGGTGTATTGGCCATGTATATCGCCGCAAATCTTAAGCGGCGCTTCCAATTCCAGCAGGATTGGTTGCTGCAGGAAAATCTCCCGCGACTTCAGACAGAGGCCACGCACCTCGGCCTCCGTCATGATAACAGTCTTGCCCGGTCGACATCCTCTGACTGTGCCCAGAAACATTGGCGGTTAATCGCGTAAGTTTACTCAAGATCGGAACGATCCTTCGTTAGTGCAGTGAATCACAATCTCCGTTACGTGCATTTAATCAGAAAAAAATAATAGCAAAATAAATATCAATATATACGGCAAATTTATCGCAGTCAACGTCGATACGATTTTTCAGCTGATATTTTCAATCTTCTCTTAAAGGCTTTTATAAGAATCTATCTTTAACGTAAGAACAGGCAGTCTATCTCTAGAAAAAAAAAAAAATCAATAATGCCATTGTCAGGTATAATTAACGGCCGTACTTATACCGCATTACTTATACCGTTACGCGCGTATTACTTCTGGAATTACTCGAGTGTGATACGCCAATAATACATCATTATTATCCCGCCAATTTATTCCGTAAGTCCTCTATTGATACACGCGTTCCCTCCGACTCCGTCGTGCGCCGTTACGCACGGTTATGCAATTCTTCGATTCGCGTCGTGAGGAGAACAATAGAAAAGCACACCTGGCTGTATCGACGTTCCTGTTACCTACACCGGTGTCGTGGAATCGATAATGAGACATCTAATGAGGCATTCCTCGCTTCTGTGTTCACCGCACTAACGACGGGTAGTCGTGGTACTCGTTCTTACAGGTACACCGAGCATAACTCTACTTTGGGGCATGGAAGATGATTAAGTTTCTGCCGGTATTAGCCGTCTCCATAAATAGGGGTGATTACACGATTACAGATTACGGTGAGGCCAGATCATCTTTGCCTATTCTCGAGCATTTTGCATATGGATACAATCACGGTACTTCCGGCGTGGTCTACGGTGATATCGCATCGATTATAACAGCGTCAAAGGCGTGAAATTACTGATAAGCTCGTTGGATAATAGGGATAATGTCTCGGGATGCGAGTCTCTCTCGAGAGAGAGAGAAAGAGAGAGAGAGAGAGAGAGAGAGAGAGAGAGACAGAGAGAGAGAAGTTATTGTCACTTTGCTATTACACGGCGGATATATTCCAGGCGAAACGCTGGAAATGTCACTCTGCACCGTGGAGTCATCGGATGCTTAAAATAAGTGCTTAAAATAAGCCGGAATAAAAACAGATTTCTTCAGAGATCCGGGACTATTTAGTGGCGATGCATAAACATCTCGTCGCGTATACATTGGCTCGTGTTAATAATTTACGGACTTATGTGAGAATTTAATTTCGAGAGAAGCTCGATATTTATCCATGACGAAAGCGTAATTGTCCCCTTAAAATAGATTACCAAAACTTAATTGATATATTCCCTCGAAAGCTTCCTTAACTTTTTTCCAACGTAAGACTTCAATAATTCTTATGTAATCTGACTTATGTGTTCGATGTCCAATAATTAACACGATTTGTGATACAAATTGCTTTTTCTTACAAAGTGATGGAGAGAATATATGATAAATCAGAAATAACTTGTCCCTGAAGAGGTTAAAAATAATTGTAAGGTCTCGTTAACGATGACTCTGGAGTGCGAACTCTATATCGCTTCAGAGACATGCGACACGAGAGTGATTATTACAGTAAATTTCCAGCATTAATTACATCATCACCTGCAATGTGACAATTTAAAAAATGTACTTGATAATGCAAAAAAAACATTATAAAATTAATGAAATTTTTACATTATCAGCATAATTTTTATAAATCGCGCATGCGCCTAAGACGAACTTCACCATGAAAGACTAAGAATTTAAAATAATTTGTCCCTGAAGTAGTTAAAAATAATTCGTTGTTACGCTGGATTGAAGTCTTATGAACAGGGTTGATATTGACGAAAGCTCAGGGGTATACTTCTTGTTAAAAAAAAAAATCACGTTATGAAGCTAATTAATAATTCCTTTCGAATTATAAATGTTAACTTACTTCCTTCTCATAATATTGTTTTATAATAAATATTACAATAAATTTATTATCAATTAATTATCATAATCATTAATTTTTGTATTCATTTCAAAAATATCTCCGATGCTTTCCGATAATGAATGCATCAATTTAAATTGACACTAAATACATTAAATTAAATATTAATTAAAACGATAATTTTATATCGTAAAGCAATTGATGCGTATTCTATAAATAATATCAAATTATGCTAAGACTTCGATTTTTCGATCAAAAAGATCGAGCAAATGAAATCCGCATATAGAATGGTAATTCAATATTAGCTCAGTAAAACATTCTCTCTTCTTAAAAGTTAAGATATTTAAATTGTTTATAATTTTAAGATTTTGCAATTTTAGAGGTAAAAAGGAGGAAGATTGGGATATCGTATTCAATTAATGCGGGAAGGAGACACAACTGAAATACATGCACCTTGTTACAAATTACACCGCGGATTGCACAAACACATCTATTATACCAAGCGTGCTCTAAACTAACATTTAAGCTTAACTAACATCTCCAGCCAATGTTGCTCGATTCCTCAAGGCATCTCAAACGTAGATAGCTACGAGTGCGAAGGGGAAGAGGAGGAGGTAATAAAAGCCAAAACGGTTGGCTAGGTGCATCGACAAATCCAGAAATAACTTGGAATAGTCCGAGAAGCATTTGTGTTACACGTTAATATTCCAAATAAGATTACAGATACTTGTTGATTTGAGTAAGAGCGTAGTGTAGTTGTTGTCTTTGAGTCTGAAGGAGGTTCAATAGGATCGACGACCGGAGAGCAGGCGGAGGATCACATTTATGCGCGCGGGGTCAGTTCTCCACTTGGGGGGAGAAAAAAAAACAAAAAGAAAGAAGAAAAAAAGGAGTTAACGGCGAGCGAGCGAACGAGTGAGCACGCGACGACGAGAGGCCCGTAATTCGCAGCGCGTGTTTAACACTAAACGTGGCTACCTGAATGTCATTTGTACCGCGCGTCCCTACATCATCCTCTTTACGTTACGGCAATTACATTTTCTAGAACCTAAGGCATTGCTACGAGACGCTTTAATATTATTTCAGCTTTAAACTCTGACGCCTAAACAGGAATATATAAATTGCTTTCCACTTACGACAAGTGGACTCCTCCAGAGTCAACTCTGCTTTCCATTTAATTTGTGTCACTGTGTGTAGGTGACTCCAGTCGACTCCACCTAACTCCGCCTTGCTTCGAGATCGAAAGAAACGAAAAGTAGGTCTAGATCAACCGCCGAACCGTGTCAAATTATGTACGAATGCAATTTTTATATGTAACGCAATTAAAATTCTAAATCAAATGTTTTTCTATATATTTACATCAGATTGAATTTATTATAAATTGAATTAACGTTATCTATTCTTGTGAGCTACCTGTACGCTAAATCGGACATGTCAGTTCCTCTTCGATTGCTACGCATGATCATTTGTGCGATACTGTAGCTATAGACTTTAGTTAACTCGAATCGGCAGAAGTGCCGTTAAAAAAGTCACGCAAGTGGAAAGTAGAGATCGGTGTAAGTTAATGAAGAAAAATAAGCGTGTTAAGAAAACTGAGTATGAATTTCCTAAATCCCATTATTATGCTTAATATTAAAGATACCAAACGCAATTGTACTTAAACGGCCACATTTAGAGATAACGCGATGCTAAAATAGGCGCGTGTTTACATGCTAGGTCGCGGGACGATAACGGAATACAAAAATCAGGGAAGTTTGACTAAACGAACATAGGACAATTCTACGTAGGGGAATTTGTCGTTTCCTATTTACTGTGACGATTGTGACGGTCGTGATAGAACGGTGATGGTGTTGGTCGTGTGGTGATGTAATGATGATAGTGATGGTGATGATATGGTTATTGTGTAGTAGCTGCGTACCGACGAAGTCCGACGAGAAAATATCTTTTAGCTTGGCTTTCTTCTGAACCTGGTCTTTCTGCGTGTGGTATACTTTACCGCACAAGGGGGTTCCCGCATTCGCGTAGCATGAGAGAGAGAACAAACAAAAAAAGAGAGATTTGTTTCTTTTTCTGCGCCCAAGAGAGCGAGGGATAAAAGATCGCGCGGTGGTCAGCGGCGCAGAGGGGGGGGGGTGATGCGATTGGAGAAGGAGGGCTCTTTAAGTCGCGAGAAAGAGAGAAAAAGATAGAAGAAAGAGAGACGGAGATATACTGACAGGTATCACGAGAGGGAGAGAACAAACGCGAGTAAAATAGAGAGGAAGGATAAGAAAAAAGAAAAATATACGTAGCGAGTTCCCAAACGAAAGAAAGGAAGAGAGAGAAAGAGAAGACGAGAGAGACGACGAACGGTCCCATAAACTTTTTTGTTTTTTTCACTCGAATCATCGTACTCGGGTATCGTGACAGCGATGACCGTAACAGTTCGGCGTACGCATGGACAAGATCGATAGCTTCCCTGCGTTTTTTAATCCGATCGACGGGGGAGGAACGCGCGACGACGCGAAGGAACGGCGCGCGGTCGGAGCACGGCTCCCGCGCGATACGCACCCTCGAAAGCGAGCGAGAGAGACAGACAGACAGAGAGAGAGAGAGAGAGAGAGAGAGAGAGAGAGAGAGAGAGAGAGAGAGAGGAGAAGAGAGAGAGAGAGAGAGGAGATAGAACCGTAGAGAATTGCGACGCGGTCCGGAGTTCGGATGGTCGTCGTTTGACGACCGCCAAATACGAGCGAATGTGCGTGTACGCGCGGGACGCGAGCACGGCGTGTTCCAATCGCGAAAAGTAGAAACGCTCAATTCGACTCACGCGTCGCGTCGCATTCGAGTCCGGTTGCGTCGCAATGAATTCTCGTCGCTCGTGCAACTCACGAGGACGCGCGTTCCACGCGCGACACAGCGGCACGCGCGCGACGGGGTACGCGCGGGACAACGTGCACGCGTCCCTCACGCGCCGACCGCCTCGTCGCAATCACGTACCTTCCAGCAATCTCTGTATCAGGTTGTCGATATTCAAGTCGACATCCGCCATTTTTTCCTACCACTAACCGACTGCTCGCCCGATGTTCGCGGACTGGCTCGTACTCGCCTGGCGCGCGCATTTGCACCGCCGCGACGCGGGACGCTGAACCGACGCGCGTCCAAATACGTGTGCGTGCCGTTATCGACTGTCGGTTTTTGTTTTGGGACGAGCGAACAAAGACGTCCGTCCACGTCGAACGTTCACGAGATACTCGATGGGTCGCAAAATGATCACCCGTAATGTAATAGGATCCGTTAGGGACAACTATACGTATCGTTTGCTGATTGGCTATTTGTAACTGTCGCCTAAGCGGATTGGTGCTTATAGCTATTGGACGAATGAAATTGTACCATTTTACTTATCGAATAAACGGATTGGTTACGTAAAAGGAGGAACTTCTAAATCAACTTTACCAATTTATCTAGATATTTTTCATTATTATTAGATATTATTTGAATTTGAAGATTTATTATTTATCATTGACTGAAAAGAATCTTAAGATTTGAGATCTAATTTAAAAAACTAATTTAAATATACGATCAGACTACAAATGTAGTTTTTGAATAGATTTTTATATTCATAAGACACATTCATAAGTATTTTAATCATTTTGTTGAATTAAAATGCAGCATCGCAATAAAATGTATACATAATTTATTTATTGTAATATAAAAAATTATTATTTTTGCTATTATGCAGACTATATTTGATACGCTTTCGATTTTTTTCAGAAATTTTTTTTTTTAAGTACGAAAAAAAATATATTTTGAAAAATCATTATTAAAATGCAAGCTCCTTAGATCTATAACATTCAAATAATGCTGTATTCGGAAACGGCTATGTCCTTGCTAGAATTTTCTTCATTATTCTTTGCTATGCGAATATGTAGAAAGAAAAACGAATAAAGAGTAAAATATAGATTTTCAAACTTAACTGCCGTGTAATAAAAGCAAAAATCGAGGAGAACCCAGAATAGAAGAGTAGCTCAGTCTCACCTACTCCAGAATAGATGAGTTTTATATTATACAGCCAAGTTGTTATTCCAATGTTATTATTCCATACACAATAGATTTAATAAAAATTTGATAACGATATAGTATATTTTATAGAGCCCGATAATGGTAGAATTCCATAACTAAATAACTGATATTAATACCAGCGCACAACGTAGTAATGTATACCAATAACATTATGGGTAGAGTGGACAATATCAGATGCGTTTTATGGAGTATTTCAATATCTGAAATAAAAATAAATCTAATAACACAGCAGAAGAAATGGATCATGTCAAAATTTTAGATTCTTAACTTACTTGCATAACCCAAAAATGTAATGTAAATGTAATAACTGATTGCTATAAACCAAAACGTATTACCAAGAAATCGCGCTGAAAATGTATTGTCGTTTATCAAAGCTGCAAATAAAACATATCCAAATAATTAAAAAATTTAATAATCAAACAAAATATATTGTACATATGAGAACTTACCATTATATATAAATAATTGTAAGATGTGAAGTATGATTAATGGAGGAAATACTGCATTTAAATGGATATCAAATGCATAACCCCATTCGACATCTTGTGTTCTATCTATCCTAAAATATCGATTGGTTATGAACCTAGAAAAAAATAGAAATATATAAAATTAAAAATGAAGAAGAAATATAAAATAATATCAAAATTAATAAGGCAATAAGAATCTAACGTGATAATTGATGGTACGTGACAGTTTATTAAAAAGACGATTTTATTTATAATACCAAGATAAAAATTCATGATATAAGATCGAATATAGAGATAATCCGTTTCAGCTCTGTATTGAGCCATCTTCAGCGAGAGTAAAATCGAATAAGTTATGCTCACACATAAATAATCTGCTGATTGGCCTTATGCTAACCAGTCTGGAAACTGTTGTGAGCATCCACCAACATCTATCTACGAATGACTGTTACCAGAGATACATAACAATAAACAACATAAATCAATCTCCACAGCTATATATAATATCTATTTGTAAAATTAAATTTTCTTGTTTCGATCTTATATCATGAACTTTTACCTTGGTGTTAAATACAAATTTTTTTTTTAATAAACTGTCACGTACCAATTACTGCGTTGGACTCTTATTGCCTTATTAATTTCGATTTTTTTACAATTTCAAGAGTCATTGAGATAAGTAATTTGTTAATTTAAATAATACATGATAGAACAAAGATAGGAAGTATCAATCTAAAAATATAATAGAATTTGACATTGTTAAGATAAAAATATGCTTACCAAAATATTGTTGCTATTAATAATCCAGCAGCTATATAATCGATGAAAACCATATAAAATAATAGTTTGACAAATTGGAAGAATCTTAGGCTCAATACTATGGCAAAACCAATAGTAGATACACAGAGACAGCATGTGACCAGCACTAAAAACGCAGGATCGTCTCTTGCAAATTGTGATTTTGTCTCTGCAAGAATTCATAATATGAAAATAAAACAATACACGATTGATATAATCAGAGTATCAACGTACGCTTTCTGTTTTGAAAGTTTCTATACACTTTCTGCGGCGCCACAAACAGAAAGATCATCTGCCAAACAGCGAACTCAAAGTCCATTTGCTCGAACTTAAGTAGTTTTCTTAGATATTTGTAACATTTTGTCGCAGCACCCATGCAATTATGCCTATAATACAACAAGTCGTTCGATCAACCAGATTTGGAGCAGATTAACGCATAATCGGACATGCAAACATTATTACCTGTAAACGATCGGCGTCGGTAGCGACGACGAGAATTCTGTCGGAACGGGCGAATGACACCGACTCGTCGGTGGCGAAGTGGAATACTTCATTTTTTATTCTTTTATACAAAATATAACACGCCGTCACACCTCACAATTATTCATAATGGAAAAACATACTCCTGACGAGCTTCCATCACGTTCGCAAGTGACTATCAGTTTCAGGTTATGTTCGCATATTATGACAAGCCTGAAAACGTTTGTTGGTAATGTCAATGCTCTCCAATTATCACTGAGCCTAGTGCGTCATTAGATGCTTTTTTCTAATTTATTATAGATTATTTGTATGCAAATATCTTTACACACACACACACACACACACACACATTGCCTTTCTTTTATAATTTGTTAATATAAACAATATTAATATATTAATCAATTTCTATTCCATTATTTAACACGATAATCTTTTTACAAAGTGATTTAATCTTATTTTACTGTACAATTTTTATGATACATCGTAAAAAATAACTTAAGCAATTATTAAAAAAAATTATTTGTTGTAAACCTTAAATAATTAAATCAATATTTTTCTCAATGATGGCGTAACCATAAGCATAGAGAAATCATGGAATTTCACAAACTTGGGATATATATATATATAAAATTATTGTGTCGCGTCTTATACATTATATATATAAAATTATTGTGTCGCGTCTTATACATTAAATATATGATTAACGATTTTTTTTTTATATATACATATTTTATATAACTTACGCAAATTAATTTGGATAGGCCTATAGAGAATGCAGTATACGTTATGCTTACGCACATATATTGCTCTACTTGAAATTACTATAACTCAGATTAAAATATAATATTTTTTACAACTCGTTAAAAGTATACTTAAGATTAATGTTACTGTGTGCTGTTATTATTATTATTATTATTATTATTACTCAACTATTAAAAACATGTATCTCCTCTGTTTTATAAAAGATACAAAATATAATATAATACACAAGAGTAAGCAAATTTAAAAGAATATGTTCTTATGAAATAGAAGTGTCAATGTTATATGTATTTGCACTGTACGGCATAAAATATTTTATCATGGAACAATAAAAAGAAAGTAGACAGATTCCGCAAGTTCTGGTCAATAGATAATTGTGTGACATTAAATGTGAATTCGCGTTCCTCTCCATGTCCAAACAGAAAAATAAATTGTTAATTTGCTTCCGCCGGACTCTGCCAGTAATGCGCCTGCATAGATAATCGTTGATTGTTACTTGGCTTGAGAGGTGTTACGCAGCGAGCGGCATCCGGAAATCGTTCGTGATAACGTTCTAATCTCAGGTACTTCACAGTCACTAACTTACCTGGAAAAAAGAAAAAATAAAGTAATTCATTGAAAGCACATACAGCATATACGTATTTGCTATAAAACTGATATAATGCTAATACTAATTGTGACAACAATTACATCAATTTCTATTGAAAATAAAAAGAATTTTATATTATTTATAATATTTCTACTTTAATATTCCACACATGTAAATTTTAAATTCTGTGAAAACTTTATGTAAAATAATTACCAATAGTCTATATAAATGTTTAAAAATTGAATCGAAATAAAGAATAAAATTATAGCTTACCATCAAACCAACAACCATGTAATGCCCTATAAGCTTTGCCAGCATCTTCTTGCGACATACATTTCATGTAAACGCAACCCTCACGGCTACCAATGTCCACTCGAATGTGAAGTATTTTCACACCTTCTCCGCATTTTTCTAAAATAGCATCCTGCACTCTCGTCTCCCAGTCATCTTCGGTTTCACTATATCATAAGAGAAAACAATTTGAGTCATTCATTAATCTTATAATTATAATTATATGCGCATATATGTCTTACATATCTGCATCAAACATATGTCTAATTTTCAGACAAGGTGTCGGCGAGCAAGTCAAACTATTAACTGATCCCTCCATCGTTTCGAATGCTTGTCCCTGCCAGACTTTCGGCTTCTTACCCATAATCGTATTCTGTATGGAAGATTTATTTAAACTGTTATTCGGCAACCATCGCCATACATGAAACTCTTCGCCGGCCACTTGTTGTACTTCTCTTCGAATTCTGAAGGTCAAAATCACATCCTTTTATTCATCCATGTCAAATATAATGTGAAATAAAGACACATGAAAAATTTTTTTACCTGGATTCATTCTCATCTAAAAACTTTACTGCTTTCTCCCAGAGATTGACCATTCTTTTACGATCTTTTGGTGGAATAAGATTGTCTCGCACATGGTTTATAGCAAGAAAACTTTCCTGCACGCCGGGTTGCGTAGACGCATTTTGATGATGTGTTTCAACGATATTTATAATTTCACTAACAAGCTTAAATATCTCTCTTTCGGTACATTTCTTGTATCTTAAATACCAAAGATACGATTTATAAATCCCGATACCTGTTAATAAAACTGAAGATGCACAGCCATCATTACAAATCTTTTGCATGTATTTGTCTACATGTATTGCAATATCGTAAACACATATCACTTTGTAAATCACTCATAATTTGTTGTAAAACAGCATTTTTTTTTTATTTATTTATTATACACGATATACTTTCAACTACTTATAAGATATCGATAGCATGTATTAATGAATTATGCTTCAGGATTTAAAGAGAAAGAATATTTTGTTACAAAGTAATTTCATAGTTTACGATACTATATTAAAGACATTATATTTTGACAAAACTTAGAAAATTATTTTAAAATGCAACTATTTTACTTGAAGTGTAGCTTACATATCATAAGAAAGTAGCGAATAATGATATAAATATACATCATATATAACATATATATATACATATATATATAAAACATACATGTAAAAATTTCATAATACAGAATAAAATTCAACAAGGTTTTTCTAAACAGTCTGTTAGAACTTTACCGATTGCCACTATAAGAAGAGAAGAAAAGATGGTAAAAAGTTTGTTCTTAATGAGACATTGCATTGGTAAATCAGGATTTAAAATCGTCATTCCAATTTTTCCATTTAGACGGGCGGAAAATAGTTTATCCTGTAATGATTAAACAAATATATTAGTTTGATAATGCAAACATTTCTGTGCTTGAAAAAAAATAGATTTATAAAACAGATTTAATCTACCAGAGTATCCAATGTTTCCATGGTTGCTCCATCATCGTTTATATCGATAAGTGAGATGCCCCATTTCGGATTCTTAATGATTAAAAATTGCGCACTGCGCAGATCTTCCTTCACCTCGAGATTCGTCTAAAGATGAAATGAAGATAATCAATTATATAATTCTTGTACAATTCTTATATTGTTAAACACATTAATTTTCAACCCACTACTTTACTGTTTGTAAACATTTCCACGATCTCTGCATCAGTCAAATATGGTTTTTCATCCGAATTCTTGCAAATTTTAGATATCGCTTTTTTGTTAGGATAGGTTGCAGACGCTTTAACAGCTGCAATACGGATTCTATATTTTCCTTCATTATGCAATTTACCCCGGGTGCTGCATCGGTAGCTGCATCGAGGAAACATTGAGGTATGTTGTTATCTATAAATACAGATAATATAATATTAATTAAAATCAAAATATTTTCTGTGATACATAATACAAAAAAATACAGAGATAGTTAACATGAGGGAGTTTCAAATTGTAATATTTCTCGAATTTCAAATGAAAAACTGCCATTTTTTCGAACTACCATATTATGAATAAGAAACAACTACAGATAATGCATTTTTTTCTTTTTCGAAATAAAAATAATAATTCTTTATTTGAAAATTTGAAATTTTTTATTCTTTCTCTTTCTTTCTTATATATGGTACAGAACTTTTTCGAACAAACTATATTTGTATACTGCAAAAAAATTTTAAAGAATCTTCAATTATTTATTTGTAATTATTTATAAGAATAATTGAAAATTTGAGCTGTTCCGATATAAACTTAGTAATGGCAGTGTATATTAGAACTCAATAATAGTCATACAGAGCAATAAAGGAATAAAAAGTATATAAATAAAAGTAAAAATTTTATGTTCGCGATTTGATCATATTTTGACAGAACAGCAAGTAACTTCTTAAATACTTTCTACTAAATCTTAAATACTAAAATGGCTTTCTTCAGCTAAACTAATAATTCAATTTAATCGATACATTTTTCTCAGTAAATTATATTCCTACAAATTTCCTATATACAAATAAATGTGCATTATAAAATTGACGGAACAAAGAATTATACAACACATGTTTATACAAATATCAGAATACTTTATAACGAAAATATCGGAATAAAACAAAATGTAGAAAGAACGGGAAAAGGAAATAAAATATCCAAATTAATTGAAGAGATGTAATATTTATTATACATGTATATATGTAAAGAGAGAAAGCAATATACATATTCAAGAAATTCTCTCTTGCATGTTTAATTTAATAAACTCGGAATAATTATTTTAATTTTATAAAAATAATGAAATTGAACATTAGTAATTAGCATTTAATTAATATATAATAATTCAGTTTTACTGCCAATATTAATTTGAGAAAAACATTGCGCTTTGTATTCTTTTATCTATAATATATATACGTATATCCCTCAGAAAGCTTTCTTTCCTTTTAAAATTATATCTCTCTTAGAAATCTTTTTTTTTTCTCATAATTATATCTCTGCATACCTACCCGATGAAAGCGATGGAAGCGTTTCAGTTTTTCCACCAAGTCCCAAATATATTATTGCAAGAACTACAAAAAATAGGGCAAGTACTGCCACGAGACCCATCGATACAATATTCTGATTGTTTCGCTCATCATCTCTATTCGTACTTGTTGTCGATGGTTTATAGGACGTTCTACTGAAAATATCTCGAACTCTATCGGCAGAAGATGCACCGTATCTCGAACTAAACAGCGTTTGTCTATATTACATTAATGTAATAATAATTCAAATAAAATAAATAAAATAATAATTCATATATATACCTTGGTTGACTTGAATATATGGTCCGTAAGGAAGAGAAGTGACCATTTGAATCTCTCTCCTTGACTTCTGGTAAACCAGATGATAAAGTATAGCGTAATGTAGGATCTAAAATTACAAGTTATGTTAAATTTTAAGTAAAATTATATAATAAAATTTTATGTAATTACATATAATGTAATATAATACAAATTTGATTTTAAATAAGTCTCTTCTAGTATAGAGCATACTAAATAAAATACTAAGTTTTATTATGCATCAAAAAACGCGCTTACTTTTTAAACTCGGCAATGTGGGCGATGACGTACTCGTGTTAATCGAAGACCGTGAACTCAGTCTCCTTGTAAACTCTGATAAAAATGGAGTTTCATAGTTTGCAAGAAGATCCCTCTGATTTGTATTGTCTCTTCCACTCACATCCTCCTTTGTAGGCGAAATAGAAGAGATACTTGGTTTTAAAGGAGAAATATTGTACTTGCTATCCTTCGTTACATGAATAGGTCTGGTTTTCGAGATTTGATCATAATCAAGAGTTCCACGTTCATATCGAGAATCATACAATCTATTGCTCGGATTAGACATATATTTATCATACGAGCGTCCATACGAGGCTCCAACATCCTCCACAGCATCCGAATCTGATCCAGTCTCTAAACCATCAGATATATATGTTTTCTGTGTCTTGAAAAATTTGCTTTGTGTGGTTTTTGAAGTCATACGAGTCATGGAAGGCACGCCCGAATTATCAAAATTTGTTGTATTAGGATCCTTGAATTCAGCTTGTGGTGGCGATAGATTCTCCTTAACTGGATTTTTTGTTACGCTTGTAGCATCAGGAGGAATTATCGAAGGTGGAGGCATAGGATTTGCCAACGTTTGCCGGCGTAGATTAGCACTCTTCTTCTTCTTAACAACATTTGTATTTGTGTCATCATCTGTGTCGTCGCTGCTATATCTAATGCATGGATGAAGAAAACACTCGATCAAGATGCAGAAACAAAACATATTCTATATAAATATGTATATGTTTAGCACTATGTTACTGTTACTGTTACTTAATTAATGTTACTGTTACTTAATTAAAAACAAAAGAAATATTCAGATAAGAATCCATCTTTTTAATTTGCAACTTTATGGATTCCCAAAACACAATTTGCATTTAAAAAAAAAACCTATCTATTTTGTATTAAAATATAACAATTTCATAGAAATTAAATAGCAGATTAGCAACATTTGCAAAAAAAATTATATTTTATAAAGAGTGTAATAAACTCAATATTACTTTATCACATATTACTAAAAGCAAAGTTTAAATATTGCTGCTTTGAACAATTTCCTTCATTTGAAATGAAAATCATAACACAGCTTCTAACATTAGAGAGAATTTCTCATGTCGCGTTTCATCCGCAGCCGTTATGAAAAACAATGATCGTTATTACGTGCCGGCGAATTGAAATCTCAGCGAAATTAAACCGGTTTCTCGACTCTCCCCTTCTTTCCTCTCTCTTTCTTTTTTATATTCTGCCCAAATCCCAAGCTCATAAATTCCAAGCGTATAAATAGGACGTAGCTGAAAGCAAATTCGTGTTGGTGCTTCTTCTCCAAGGAAAAATGCTCACCTCGCGGCCAACGAATGCCGAGATCCTCCTCCTCCTCCGCCTGCTGCTCCACGAGTCTCGATGAGGTTCTTGAGTTTCTTGACGAGTATCTTGCGGGTTGTCTGCGTCACCGGTCCTACCGGATAACCATACTCCATCAACTTGGACCGCAATTCGGAATCGCTCAGCGCGTCCACCGACATTTTGTCTCGCGGGTGTGAGAGATCGCGATCCCAAATGGAGCGAAAAACCCGGCTCAAAAGAGATGCACGATCACGATGATTCGCGCGACGACACGAACGAATCCACTCTGTGGATGCCCGTTCTCGAGGTCTCGTTCGATCGATGATCAATCCTCCGCCAGTCCAGTCACCGTCGCGCGAGACGCACGCTGACCGTTGCGCTGTGACTCGGGGTCCCGCGCGCACGTGGACGATCGTTCTCTCAGATCCTGCTCCAGATGTACAACCAGCTCGTGGACTTCAATAAGACCCCGTCGTGATCAAGCACACTATCACACGACCGCCCTTCCGCACGTCCGATTATCCCGCGCGGCCGTTTTTCTTCCCCTAAACAATTCAACTCGTTCGGTAACTGAAAAAAGAAAAATGGCGCAATTTTCTAACGGTCGCGATCGCGCGCATACGAGACACGGCCTCGCGCGTGTAAAGATGCAACAACGCGACGCGCACCTTTGTCGGAAAGGAGAGGGGGATCGAGGGGAGGCTCCTCTCACGAGCTCCAAGATCTAATTTCCATCGAAGTCTTCCGATTCTACTTCGATGTGAGTAGAACTTAAGGACCGCTTCCAATGAAAGTAGAGTATGGGCACTTACGAAAAATATATGTCGCCATAGACTTTATACTACTTGCAGAGAGAAACCTGCAAGCGGCAATCCTGATCTTTTTTATGGGATCGTCAAAATCGTCATACATTAGCGCCATCAAGTTCTTCTATTTTAGCATATTGGAATTAAATATCCACTTTCATATTCTGATAACTGCCGATAAAATCCCATTTTAGTGTGTGTCCATGTTATTTTTACAATTCGTGCATATACTTATACATCTTTACATTCGCATAATTTTTTGTTGTAAAATAAAATATTGGTGAATATTAACATTAATATATACATTACAAATATGTTCATATTTATATGTACATATACTACAATAAAAAGAATGTATGATAAATATTTTCTAATTTTTATAAAATTTCTCATATTAGATTTTTTGCATATAATAGACATTACGTTACAATTATCGATAGTATAATAATCACATAATAATCATTTTATAAGCGATATAAAGAAATATTTTTTCTATTTAAAGAAAGGATAAAGAAAGGATTTCTATTAAAGAAAGGATAAAATAAATATAGCATGTTGAGTTTTTTACTGTGCATGATAAATACCAGCCTTGAGGCTGCCAAAAATCAATTAAAACAATATGATTTATACGAATAATCATTTTGCATTGGGAAATATGCATGATAACCGGAAAACTTGATTAATTTTTTTCTGTTAATTATTTTGAACATTGGGATTTATACATAATGGCTGGGCAATTATATATAATTCTCAATTATTCAAATTGTCCATAATATACAGGCTGTCCCAAAATTCCCGCATTTGGAGTATACTACGTGATTCTTTATGCTAAAAGAAATAACTTTTTTCTTTAGTAAAATTGCGTTTAACAAGTAATTTTTACAAGTGGATCGGATTGAAGGTGACGAATGAGCGCGCGTATGTACGAACGCTCAATTCGTACATCATATTATTTACATTTGTTTTTATTTCCAGATAATGCTACGAAATCAGACAATTTTTTTATTGAATCATTACGTAAAGGATAATAACAATATTTATTTTGTTAACTTTTATTATATTTTACAATACAGTACATAAAGTTGTCAAAGATTAGGTACCAGGCCACGCCGGCCCTGACCGCTACATACGCGCGCTCATTCGTCACCTTTAATTTGATCCATTGTAAAAACTACTCGTCAAATGCAATTTTGCTAAAAAGAAAAAGTTATTTCTTTTAACATAAAGAATTATGTAATGTACTCTAAATGCAGGAATTTGGGGACATTCTGTATATA